AGGACTACTACTATAGATGAGTCTCCTTCCTATGTGAGGACTACTACTATAGATGAGTCTCCTTCCTATGTGAGGACTACTACTATAGATGAGTCTCCTTCCTATGTGAGGACTACTACTATAGATGAGTCTCCTTCCTATGTGAGGACTACTACTATAGATGAGTCTCCTTCCTATGTGAGGACTACTACTATAGATGAGTCTCCTTCCTATGTGAGGACTACTACTATAGATGAGTCTCCTTCCTATGTGAGGACTACTACTATAGATGAGTCTCCTTCCTATGTGAGGACTACTACTATAGATGAGTCTCCTTCCTATGTGAGGACTACTACTATAGATGAGTCTCCTTCCTATGTGAGGACTACTACTATAGATGAGTCTCCTTCCTATGTGAGGACTACTACTATAGATGAGTCTCCTTCCTATGTGAGGACTACTACTATAGATGAGTCTCCTTCCTATGTGAGGACTACTACTATAGATGAGTCTCCTTCCTATGTGAGGACTACTACTATAGATGAGTCTCCTTCCTATGTGAGGACTACTACTATAGATGAGTCTCCTTCCTATGTGAGGACTACTACTATAGATGAGTCTCCTTCCTATGTGAGGACTACTACTATAGATGAGTCTCCTTCCTATGTGAGGACTACTACTATAGATGAGTCTCCTTCCTATGTGAGGACTACTACTATAGATGAGTCTCCTTCCTATGTGAGGACTACTACTATAGATGAGTCTCCTTCCTATGTGAGGACTACTACTATAGATGAGTCTCCTTCCTATGTGAGGACTACTACTATAGATGAGTCTCCTTCCTATGTGAGGACTACTACTATAGATGAGTCTCCTTCCTATGTGAGGACTACTACTATAGATGAGTCTCCTTCCTATGTGAGGACTACTACTATAGATGAGTCTCCTTCCTATGTGAGGACTACTACTATAGATGAGTCTCCTTCCTATGTGAGGACTACTACTATAGATGAGTCTCCTTCCTATGTGAGGACTACTACTATAGATGAGTCTCCTTCCTATGTGAGGACTACTACTATAGATGAGTCTCCTTCCTATGTGAGGACTACTACTATAGATGAGTCTCCTTCCTATGTGAGGACTACTACTATAGATGAGTCTCCTTCCTATGTGAGGACTACTACTATAGATGAGTCTCCTTCCTATGTGAGGACTACTACTATAGATGAGTCTCCTTCCTATGTGAGGACTACTACTATAGATGAGTCTCCTTCCTATGTGAGGACTACTACTATAGATGAGTCTCCTTCCTATGTGAGGACTACTACTATAGATGAGTCTCCTTCCTATGTGAGGACTACTACTATAGATGAGTCTCCTTCCTATGTGAGGACTACTACTATAGATGAGTCTCCTTCCTATGTGAGGACTACTACTATAGATGAGTCTCCTTCCTATGTGAGGACTACTACTATAGATGAGTCTCCTTCCTATGTGAGGACTACTACTATAGATGAGTCTCCTTCCTATGTGAGGACTACTACTATAGATGAGTCTCCTTCCTATGTGAGGACTACTACTATAGATGAGTCTCCTTCCTATGTGAGGACTACTACTATAGATGAGTCTCCTTCCTATGTGAGGACTACTACTATAGATGAGTCTCCTTCCTATGTGAGGACTACTACTATAGATGAGTCTCCTTCCTATGTGAGGACTACTACTATGATGGATGAGTCTCATTCCTATGTGAGGACTACTACTATGATCGGTGAGTCTCCTTCCTATGTTAGGACTACTACTATGATGGACGAGTCTCCTTCCTAAGTGAGGACTACTACTATGATGGATGAGTCTCCTTCCTATGTGAGGACTACTACTATGATGGACGAGTCTCCTTCCTATGTGAGGACTACTACTATGATGGATGAGTCTCCTTCCTATGTGAGGACTACTACTATGATGGATGAGTCTCCTTCCTATGTGTGGACTACTACTATGATGGACGAGTCTCCTTTCTATGTGAGGACTACTACTATGATAGATGAGTCTATTTCCTATGTGAGGACTACTACTATGATGGATGAGTCTCATTCCTATGTGAGGACTACTACTATGATGGATGAGTCTCATTCCTATGTGAGGATCACTACTATGATGGACGAGTCTCCTTCCTATGTGAGGACTACTACTATGATGGATGAGTCTCATTCCTATGTGAGGACTACTACTATGATGGACGAGTCTCCTTTCTATGTGAGGACTACTACTATGATGGATGAGTCTCATTCCTATGTGAGGACTACTACTATGATGGATGAGTCTCATTCCTATGTGAGGACTACTACTATGATGGATGAGTCTCCTTCCTATGTGAGGACTACTACTATGATGGATGAGTCTCCTTCCTATGTGAGGACTACTACTATGATGGATGAGTCTCCTTCCTATGTGAGGACTACTACTATGATGGATGAGTCTCCTTCCTATGTGAGGACTACTACTATGATAGATGAGTCTCCTTCCTATGTGAGGACTACTACTATGATGGATGAGTCTCCTTCCTATGTGAGGACTACTACTATGATAGATGAGTCTCCTTCCTATGTGAGGACTACTACTATGATGGATGAGTCTCCTTCCTATGTGAGGACTACTACTATGATGGATGAGTCTCCTTCCTATGTGAGGACTACTACTATGATGGATGAGTCTCATTCCTATGTGAGGACTACTACTATGATGGATGAGTCTCATTCCTATGTGAGGATCACTACTATGATGGACGAGTCTCCTTCCTATGTGAGGACTACTACTATGATGGATGAGTCTCATTCCTATGTGAGGACTACTACTATGATGGATGAGTCTCCTTCCTATGTGAGGACTACTACTATGATGGATGAGTCTCCTTCCTATGTGAGGACTACTACTATGATGGATGAGTCTCCTTCCTATGTGAGGACTACTACTATGATGGATGAGTCTCCTTCCTATGTGAGGACTACTACTATGATGGATGAGTCTCCTTCCTATGTGAGGACTACTACTATGATGGATGAGTCTCCTTCCTATGTGAGGACTACTACTATGATGGATGAGTCTCCTTCCTATGTGAGGACTACTACTATGATGGATGAGTCTCCTTCCTATGTGAGGACTACTACTATGATGGATGAGTCTCCTTCCTATGTGAGGACTACTACTATGATGGATGAGTCTCCTTCCTATGTGAGGACTACTACTATGATGGATGAGTCTCCTTCCTATGTGAGGACTACTACTATGATGGATGAGTCTCCTTCCTATGTGAGGACTACTACTATGATGGATGAGTCTCCTTCCTATGTGAGGACTACTACTATGATGGATGAGTCTCCTTCCTATGTGAGGACTACTACTATGATGGATGAGTCTCCTTCCTATGTGAGGACTACTACTATGATGGATGAGTCTCCTTCCTATGTGAGGACTACTACTATGATGGATGAGTCTCCTTCCTATGTGAGGACTACTACTATGATGGATGAGTCTCCTTCCTATGTGAGGACTACTACTATGATGGATGAGTCTCCTTCCTATGTGAGGACTACTACTATGATGGATGAGTCTCCTTCCTATGTGAGGACTACTACTATGATGGATGAGTCTCCTTCCTATGTGAGGACTACTACTATGATGGATGAGTCTCCTTCCTATGTGAGGACTACTACTATGATGGATGAGTCTCCTTCCTATGTGAGGACTACTACTATGATGGATGAGTCTCCTTCCTATGTGAGGACTACTACTATGATGGATGAGTCTCCTTCCTATGTGAGGACTACTACTATGATGGATGAGTCTCCTTCCTATGTGAGGACTACTACTATGATGGATGAGTCTCCTTCCTATGTGAGGACTACTACTATGATGGATGAGTCTCCTTCCTATGTGAGGACTACTACTATGATGGATGAGTCTCCTTCCTATGTGAGGACTACTACTATGATGGATGAGTCTCCTTCCTATGTGAGGACTACTACTATGATGGATGAGTCTCCTTCCTATGTGAGGACTACTACTATGATGGATGAGTCTCCTTCCTATGTGAGGACTACTACTATGATGGATGAGTCTATTTCCTAAGTGAGGACTACTACTATGATGGATGAGTCTCATTCCTATGTGAGGATCACTACTATGATGGACGAGTCTCCTTCCTATGTGAGGACTACTACTATGATGGATGAGTCTCATTCCTATGTGAGGACTACTACTATGATCGGTGAGTCTCCTTCCTATGTTAGGACTACTACTATGATGGACGAGTCTCCTTCCTAAGTGAGGACTACTACTATGATGGATGAGTCTCCTTCCTATGTGAGGACTACTACTATGATGGATGAGTCTCCTTCCTATGTGAGGACTACTACTATGATGGATGAGTCTCCTTCCTATGTGAGGACTACTACTACGATGGACGAGTCTATTTCCTATGTGAGGACTACTACTACGATGGACGAGTCTATTTCCTAAGTGAGGACTACGTATCGTCCTGCAAAGTCACACATTGTAAGAGAAAGAACCAGGAACAACATTTGCAAGCTGAACTCCAGGCAAAAAGCTAAATACAATAATATCATATATGGGAGCTGTTATAACTAATTCTGCACAGCCAGCCTTGTGATCAGGGCACCCCTGCCAAACAACGCAGCCAGAAAAATGATCCCACACTACAGCTGCACAGCCTGGTCAGACCCCCCCCCCCCCCTGCCTGTAGACTGGACAGTGATAGGACAGCAGCACCCTGGTCATCCTTCTGCTCTTTCCTGCGCTCGGTATGTTTCCAGCAGCATGCATGCATGCACCGCCCCTCCGTTTTATTTGGGAGGTATGAAGACAGATTCAGGTACTTGCACCGCATTTGACAATACAATGAATGGTTACACAAAGTTGCATTTTAAATATCTGCCTGGAGTTCAGCTTATACCACAATTCATTGTCATCTCACAGTCACTGGCGGGGACGATGTTACTTACGTGGTGCTGGCTGGCTTTGGCCAACTGACGATTGGCAGACTCAACGTTGGAGGAAGCGGTCTCAATATTGGCTTCAATGCTATCTGTAAAGCCACAACACAACATTAATAGACGAGCCCCGCCCTCTGCGCTACAACCTTCAAGGCAAAGTACTGACTGTGGGGACTGAAGAAGGTAAAACCTATCTGGTCTTTATTTTCTGTATGTGGACATTCAGGCGAGGTTCACACCTAGGCGTCACCTCACCGCGTGGCAATTGCGCACTATTCCGCGCGGTCAGGAGTGGTCAAGGTGTGAACTGGTCATGGTTATTTTCTAATGGCACCGGGCGGATTGCGTGGTTGCCAACAGCCGCGCGTCGTGTATCGCAAAAAAAAAAAGGAGGGGTACCTGTACCTTTTTTTTTCTGCGATTGCAGCGCGGATGTCACCCCATTGCAATCAATGGGGCTGCGCAGCAATCGCTGCCTGCGTTGTACAGGACCGCACGATCCCGGAAAACACGTCCTGGGTGTCGTGCAGGTGTGAACCTATCCTCAAAGCGACACTAAACTCCGGAGATAAATTCTAAAAATGCCTCCGAGTCCCCGAACTCTGAGCAACAATGTATCTTATTTGTATCACTCGGCTGGAGATCCTCCAATCATCTCTGACACTGTCCTTCCTTCTGGAGGGGGGGCTACGTCTGTTCCCCATGGTCCCTGTGTGTGTTGTAGAGTAGTCACTGCTCCAAGCTCCTCCCCCGTGATGGACTACAATCTCAATACAAATTAGTAAACTGAACCTGAGATTGTAGTCCATCCCAGGAGCGTGCTTGGATTTGGGTCATCATGCAGCCCCCTCTCCCCCTCCCTCTCTTCCATTCTCTCCCAGGGGAAACTGATCTCAAGTCAAATTCAAACACTTGATTTCTTCTTTTAATAAAAAAATTATCATTTCTAAATTTTCACTTCACCCGGGATGGACTACAATCTCAATACAAATGAGTAAACTAAACATGAGATTGTAGTCCTTCCCGGGGGGCGGAGCTTGGATCGGTGACTACTCTACAACACGCACAGGGACCATGGGGAACAGACGTAGCCCCCCTCCAGAAGGAAGGACAGTGTCAGAGATGATTGGAGGATCTCCAGCCGAGTGATACACAAATCAGATACATTGTTGCTCAGAGTTCGGGGACTCGGGAGGGATTTGGAAGATTTCCCTCCGGAGTTTCGTGTCACTTTAAGGAGATCTCACTTTGTTTCTTCTCCTCGTCCTCTACGCAGCGATGGGAAATCTCCAGAACATGGCGTCCCCGCTGAAAGATTTAACCCCTCCGCATGTGTTCCCGGGACAACTGTAAACATCTGGTTTCCCATCAGGCCCGGTGCAGACCTGCGCAATGCGGGATCCTGCACAATGCCGGCCGCGATTGATTTCAATGGGGCGAAATTTCGCGCGGCAATCGCAGGGAAAAGGCACATGTACCTTTTTTTTTTGCGATACTTGACGAGCGGCTGTGTTCGGAATCGCGGCGGGAAACAGCGCCATCCGCCCGGCGCGCCATTAAAAAATAATGGCACCCGCAGTGTGATCGGCGCACGCCTAGGCGACTCCTGAGCGCACGATTGCCGCGCGGTGAGGTGTCGCCTAGGTGTGCGCCGGCCCTCACTCTCAGTCCCAATGAATAATGAGATTTATTTTATACATATACTTTCTTTTTAATAAGAAACAAGTTACAATGTTGACATAAAAAATTACTTTGAAGCTGAACTCCAGGCAAACGGCTAAATACACACGGATGAAATACATACATGGAAGATGTCTCACCTGTCGCAGGATTTGTATCTTCCTCCTTCCAATCCGGAGATTGAGGGCAGGTTCACACCATTTCCCGGAACAGATCCGGAACGCAGTGCATTGCGGTTTGCCGCATTTTTACCACATTTGGAACTTTTGTTTGCTATTTTTAGCTTAAAATGGTCTCACGGGTGCGTTTTTTGATGTGTTTTTTATGCGTTCCAGACCAGACAAAATAAGGTGAGCAGTATTTTTCTGGTCTGGACTGCGCTGGTGTGAACAGAGGCCAGAAATAACATAGGGATACATTAGGATCTGGTCTGGAGATGATCCGGATATGGTGTGAATGGGCCCTTACACAGCTCCGCCACACAACATGGCCATGCCTGGCAGGACAGGAGATGTCATGTTTCAGTTCAGTCGCACAGCCGCAGGTCTGGTCCCTCCTCCGGCCTATGAATGGTTATGTTCCATGAGCAGCACAACGGACTGACCCCTTGTGCTGCTTTTCTTACCCTCAGTCTAAGCTCTGCTGTACAGAGGACTACAAGAGGCTGACAAGTCAGATTCAGGTCCGTACATTCGGATGATGTGACAATGATGACAGAGCTGTATTCATTTGCGTCTTTGATATCTGCCCGGAGTTCAGCTTTATATTGTGAACTCCCCGATAACACACTTCTTTGGAGACCCTCAGCCAGGTGAGTTTACTCTAAAATTAGGGATGCACCGATACCGATAGTCCCATTTAGGAAGCCGGGCAGCGTGTAATGACTCGCCACCAGGCTTCCCGATTAGCAGGGAAGCCGCCCCCATGCTTCTCGTCACGAGGGAGCCGGCTTTCTGGCCAATCAGGAAGCCGGGCAGCGTGTAATGACCCGGCTTCCTGATATCGGAAGTATCGGGCTAGGCATCGGAGCATTTGGAGCGAGTACGAGTACTCGGCACCGTTACCGATACTAGTATCAGTACCGGTGCATCCCTACTTTAACCCTTTGTCATTATGCAGAGTCTGTGGTTATGGGGACTTGGATTTTAGGAATTTATTCAGGAATCGGGAGTCAAGTACACACATCCATTAAAAGAAGAGTCTGAAAAGCCATAACTTTAATGCAATACAAGCGTGCACAACGATGACGCATTGACAATGACCGAACAATAAACAGGAAATGCATTGAGGAGGGGGGGAGGGGTTGGGGGTCACACTCACCTACAGAATCACCTTGTTCGTAGACAATAGATGCCAGATCTTTCATAATCTGATTGACATCCAGCATATCACTCTGCAAAGCAAAACACAAAGCAATCATCAATCCATGAGCAGATAACACGAGCATTGCACCACTCTGCAGGCCGGCAGGATATTAAACTACATACAATGGAGGGGGGGGGGCTTATCATGACATGAATGGGCAGGAGACGGGTTTTTTTTTATAGCTGAAGACACTAAAATGAATTCCAGGGACTCGATGGCGACGTCACGCGTGATAGCCAGAGCAACGGAAACTTACTGATTCCGGAATTTCACTCAGAAGATCTTCAATAGAATATTGTACAGAGAGTGGCAGAAATCTGCAGGACGCCATTGGTGACGTTTATGGGGTGAGGAGCAACTAATAGAAATATGGTCATGTAGATCAATGATTGGTATGAAGATGTTTATTGGTGAGGAGCAGCCAACGCACTTGTCGGGAAGAAGCCTCCACCTTCTTCAGGGATTTAAATGTATGACATTAAAACCAGACGGTATTCATCACAAGTCAGGTCAAGTATAAGGGTCCAGTTAGTGGAGATGAAGGTCTTTGACCTGGCCAGGGTATGTAGGACCCCACAAAGAGAACACTGCTAGACTCAGGTCAGGTCAGGTATATAGGTCCAGTTAGTGGAGATGAAGGTCTTTGACTTGGCCGGGGCAAATAGGACCCCACAAAGAGAACACTGCTAGACTCAAGTCAGGTCAGGTATATAGGTCCAGTTAGTGGAGATGAAGGTCTTTGACTTGGCCGGGGCATATAGGACCTCACAGAGAGAACACTGCTAGACTCAGGTCAGGTCAGGTCAGGTATAAGGGTCCAGTTAGTGGAGATGAAGGTCTTTGACTTGGCCGGGCATGTAAGACCTCACAGAGAGAACATTGCGAGATTCAAGTCAGGTCAAGTATAAGGGTCCAGTTAGTGGAGATGAAGGTCTTCACGATGTATTTCATATGTTTTAAGGGGGCGGCTTTTTCCCCATAACATGCTGGCTGCTCAATGTTATACTAACCACCAAGCTACAAGACATTTTATGCTTTTACTAGGTGCACCTCACCTCATACTCTGGTTGAACAGTGCACTCACTGCGACCAGAGATGTGGCAGCCTAAGACCTCAATACATTGTACTTCCACTGTAGGTTGGTATCATTAAAAGAGTACCACGTCTTTATACAGACAAAGCTTACTTTTCATTGGCCCGGAGCTACCATACACCCACAAGATTGGTGATGTTCGAGCAAGGACATCCATTTATTGCCCAGCACCTGACTAGCCCCAGGAGCATAGTCTGCCCTGTGCATCAATTCCGCAATCTGACACCGGAGAGGGGATGGAGGGAGTTCGTGTAACGTTCTCCCTCTGATCCCCTGTCACAGAGCCACCATGCTGGTCCCAGGCTCGCACTGGGTACAGCGGAGCCCAGGACCAGCGGGGGGGGGGGGGGGGGGCTCAGGACAGCCACCCCAA